AGGAGATCATTTATCTGTTGAAGGGTTCACACAGTTCATTCATGTCATTGACTGCAAGATTCATTCTAAATCCAGATTTTGTGATTTGGAAGACACCCTTATTTATCCCAGTCATGTATGAATGGAGCATGAACCTTAGAATATCTTCTATAGAATTCAGTAGCAACTGTAAGACAACTCGATGCAGAAAAAGATTCCTTAGAAGAGAAGATTTGGAAACCACTGTAGTTGAGAACTGTGTGCCAAGATTTTCACAACTGGTTCTTACAAACAGTAGATGCAATTGATATGCTAAGATTTGGAGTTTTCATTTGTATTAGAAATTATTTGCCTCTTTCTCTTTTAGTTCTGTGCCTATTGTTCCCAAGGCTGAACTGTTTGTGCCACACTGCTCCACTTTTTACATGTTCTTTATGATGATTGCCTTAAGATCTCTTTTTCTGCTTCCCAGTTCCAGCCCCCAATAATTTTTCTCACATTTCTTTGGATGCCAGATATGGTCTTCATTTCTAGTTTCCTGTAGAATATGCAGCTTATTAGAAGATGCTTAGTTAAAAAAAATGGTTCCCAGACTAATGATCACCTCTAAATGTAGCAGGAAGCAGATGATCGGTTAAAAAAAGAGCTTTGCCTGTCTCAAATTAATGATCAGCTCTAAATGTCTGTACTGATCATTCATCCTGAAGTGTATAGTTAATATATGTACTTTAAAAGCCTTTTGTTACCAGTAAAATGTATTTACGCATCATGACAATCTCCCACAGATTAACCTTATGCATTTTAAACTACAAGTACATCATGAGTTCAAACAAAGAGTTTAAATATACACAAATCCAGAAGATGAGCCCAGCTGCAGATTACATGCTCCATCACATATGTGAAACACACAATCAAGGATTTGAGAAGGTATTTATCCATCTTATAGATTCTAAACTTGAAACTGAGTGCCTGGCTAGATGTTCCCTTGATACATAGAATGTGGTTATGTATCTAGATTACAGGAAGTTGGGAAGAGGCAGCTGTTATCTGGGAATCAGTTTGTGGGAAGATTTTTCTTTCGTCAGCTCAACACAATCAAAACCAAAATTGGCCTCTGTGGTGCAGATGGAATGCTTAGAAAAAACTTCCCCCTGATATGAATGGGAAGCTTTTTCCTAGGCATTCCAACTGTACCAGGTAAGGGTACACCTAGAACTTTTTCCCAGGCACACTAGATTACCTCTTGGGATTATGAACTCAATGTGCTTGCAATTTGTAAAACTAAAACACTTCCTAGAGCCTTGCTTCTCCCTATTTCCAGCAGTATTAGCCTCACCAGCACTTCTTTGCCAAAAGTCATTATTATTACACACAAGTCTCTGAGCATACAAAAAGCAAAAAGCAGAGAGAACCCTCTCTGACATTCTTTACCCAAAATTTTATGAACCCTTCTGCATCTGTCTCTGGGGATGGACACTGTGAGCACGTCTTTGCTGCTCTTGCTGTGTCCCCAGTTGGGCTACCCTGAGACGGTGATGTCTAACAATCAGGTCTACCTCATCAGGGAGTAACGCATCCAAATTGCTGCCCATTTCCAAAAGTTTTCCCTCAAGATGCTGCAGCTCATCCCATTCCCATAGCTGAAAACACTGGTCCCCTCACCTGCCATTGGGTTAATCTCTCCTATAGCTGGACCCATTTCAACAACCATCTCAGTATCAGAGTCTGAGTAGTCAGTCCCACCAGGATAGGTAGCCTCCCATGCATTTATCTTATCGTCAAAATCTGAACTGTCAGCCCTGCCTAACCAGGTAGCCTCTCATGTGCATGCCTGTGATCTGACAGGACACATGTGCACAACAGCAACATAGCTATTTATTGTGCCTTTATCACTCGTAATATTGCATTTGTTTCATGTCCTAAAAAGTGCCCCAAAATATTATAAATAATGAATAAATAAACTGGATGATGAGGTGCAGCTACATGCTCTGCATTAAGTGTAATGTGTAGTTTGGCCTGAGTGTCTCAAGTGCACAATGGAATCAGTGAATATATGGCACAGACCACAGAATTCATCACTTTAAGGAATAAGTCAAGCCAAAGATCTTGTATGTGGCTCATATCAGGGGTGACCTTAGGACTTTAATTAACTTTAAGATTAATTTAGCCTGCCAATGGCCATGCCTACATTTCTTTCCCTTAACTAATGAGAGTTTGGTTCCAGCCTCAGTGCTATTTTTCTCCATTCTAACAGGATGGGATGTATTTCTTCAGGGTTAGTTATTGTTAAAAGAGCTTTAAGGTAAAATGCACTGGCATTTTGGTGTTTCAGCCTTCCTCTTTCTGGCATCGGTTCTGGCACTATGGCCTCTGTCCCCACATGCCCTGGAATGCAACTCCTGAGTAGAGATCTGTGACGAATCTATTTGGGGGGGGGGGGTGGAAAGCTGTAGAATTTCTCCAGTTTGTGGCCTCAATTGTGGTTCACTTCTTGTGTGCTGGCTCTACTTTGATGCAGCTTGAGCTGAGCAAAATTGCAGACTTCCATGTGCAACATAGATTGATGTGCATTAAAAATTGAATTTATGGAAACAATTGCTGGATAAAATGTATAATTTTAATGGGATTTATATGTTCCTGAACTATGTAGAATTTTAGTTCTCTTTTTGCGAAAACACAGAGAGTGTGTTTGTTTTGTGCCCATTTCTGTGTTGTGCCCATTTTTGCACAACACAGAACCTTACGAACAAACAAACCATAAGCTCTACAGGTGCTGCACTATGTAAATATGGTCATTCCCACTCAATGCTGTACCTGGAAAGCATGTCAGTTAGTGAAATTTGTGAAAATTCACAAACGAAATGGAATAGAAATGGTCTAAATAAATAAATAAATAAAAATATAATCAAGCCATGTGCTTCTGAGTGACATTTTGTTCCAAAACTGGAAAACATATGACTTGCACAAATTATGCATATCTCATTGGAACCATGGGTTTTCCCAGTACTGATTTCCAGAAAATCAATTGGTGGCCTTTTTTGGGTGTGGGTGAATATGGTCATTTTCTTGCAGGAGGTCTCAGAGAATCCTGCCAGAGTGTACACAGGTAGACATCTATGTTATGAACCTCAGCACTTTTATTGGTTAGAACATCCATGAAAAACCTCTCTGCGGAGGCAAACCTAGAACAGCGCTGCCGGGTAAAAGTGCACAAACCAACTACAAATTTCAAGAACATATACAGAGTGTTTTATAGGTTTCTAGTCACATACAAGGAACAGAGAGGCTGATATGGGAAGAATGGGCACACGCCAGAAGATAATTTATTCACGAACAGAACGATATGAGAAAACAGCAGATGGGACATGACATAAAATTACAGTAAATATCAGTGATGAATAGAGTATTGACATGGCTAATGGAGAAGTATGTGAGTCACAACCGATCCTGGGAGTGGGTTTTGACATGCAAGAGCACTAGTCAGGGCTGTTTTTTGCAGCCCAGCAAATAACAGGATAAAAGCCTCAATGCAGAGAAACGCTGGAGCTAACAATGTCACGTGTTTAACTTCGCAACTAAACGTAGCAGCCACCTCAGGCCAGCGGAGAGTCTCACTTTCTTAAAGAAACAGATGAATAATAAAGCCTCAGGGAAAAAGCATCCTGGCTGAGAGTTCTGGGCAAGAGGAGCAGGGACACTAAGGGATTGATTTTATATCACAAAGTCACATATAAGCAACTTTTCTCTATAAAGATTTATTTGGATTTTACCAACAGAGGAAATCCATTCAAAAACAAACAAACCCTTGACTTGTGCTGCTTCTGATGCATTGGCTTGGCAGTGGGCAGGAAACCTGGCAAGTTCAAGCAAGCTAGAAAGCTCTGCTTTTGGTACATTTCTATCCGGACAGCTCCTCCAAAAGTGCACTTGGGCCTTGGATTCTATTACCTAAAGTTCAGGAATGATTTGATCCATGTGGATTCACCCTAAAACAGACAGGCAGTGTCCCTCCACAAATCTACCTGCTTGCCTGTCTGTCTTTTACATGCTAACACACGCGCAGGCACACACACGCACACGCACACAAGTAGTATTTTCAGGGTCTCCTTGTGAGTGTTCTGATGCAGAGCAGTTGCCCAAGGCAGAGACCACTTTAATATATTTCTGTTGACAGAATACGAACACAGAGGCTTACAGATCAGATTAACACTGCCCTTTTCTGGAGTCTTTGGCTACAGCTGCTCACTAGCACACATTCTGCAGTGGATTTTCTACCTTATCTATGAAAGCACACCCAATGAGTATCCAGTTTGAACAATGTCAACTGCAAAGTATAATTTAGTTTGGATTTTTGCTTTGGTTTTACTGGCTAAAATGGCAAGAAACCAAAGAACCTCATCATTCTCATTCCCAGCTCTGAAGTTTTGTAAGCCACTCTCTTGTTTTTGTTCTTAAACTCATTGCCTGTGTAAACCACATGAAACAGAGCTCAATTTCATTATGATAGGGCAATTTACCTTGTATGGATTTTATGAAGAATATAATGTTCATGTTTTAAGATGGCAGCATGCTAGAAAATTGTCACACCTTAACCAGAAGCCCACTGCATTGACTGTATAATCTGAACACTTGCAGATGAGTGGGAAAAAGTGAGAAATGAGAATCACAATAACTGGAAATACATTCTGACTTTGCTAGATGTGTCAAAAGTATACGTGTGAAATAAATGTTATCACACAGAAGCAGATGTTATAAAGTTGTACAATTACTTTCCTTGCTTAGGAAATCTTTCCCCTTTAAAACATTTTCACAATGAAGAACCACTAAAATCCAGGACAGTTTGGACAATGCATCTCAGAAATCAAATTTGCTCTTCATTTTTTCTTTCAAATCCTTTTGAATATGTATGTTGACAGTTAGTGATTTCGTTTTCAATCGGGAGCAAAACCATTTGGTCAGATCGCTTTAATGTCATACTGCCTATAAGCAAATACCTTTGCCAGCTCAAGTGACAAACTCACCTTAAAAATCAAATCCTTTTTCCCATAGCGAAGCTCCTTCAGTTGGGCTTGGATCTTTTTTGACTGCAAGCAGAGGATAATACATTAATCTTTTAAGTAATTTATATTAAAGAATCAGCAGAGGAACAGATATTAAAGTTCAGGCAATAGGAAAGTCTATCCTGGGGTGTTTTTGGGTGGTGGTTTCTGGTTTATTTGTTTTTGCAAAATCATGTCTACTGATGAAATTTATCCTGTTTGCTGCAGCTACACTGATGATCTCTGCAGTAAAATGTGAAGTGAAGGGCAGAAACTCATCCCTGCACATGTAGTGACATGGCAAACTGAGCTGCCACATAGATTGTGAAGCAGCTGTCAGAAGCTGAGTAGATTTTTGGCTTGGATGCAAAGTAATGTGTGTGAAAGTAAACTTATACAAGGAGACTTTCCTATCCTCTTATCTGTCCTCCATCTCCCTGCAGCCAAAAAATGTCTCTCTGGAAGGTCAAGGAACTCTTCTGAATAGTAGGAATGGGAAAGGAATGGGAGCAGAATGACTGGTCAGTAGTGCCAGTAGGGTTAAATTTGGGTTCCCTCTCCATAATATAAGCATGAAGACCTATAAAATGTAGCAGGGCTGGCTTACAGAAGAATTAAAGCAATGTACTTTACTATCAAAAGATGACACTTTCATTCCATGAAACTATTATGTCCCATTCCTAAAATGGCCTAATTACACCACTGTAGCTGAGAAAGGGGTGATTGAGTCTTAAAATGTGGGTGGAAATAACTTGCCCAAGTTCTTCTTAGCTTGCTGAAGGTGGCTGTACTCAAAATTAAACACAAAATGCAAAATACAAACAGGCAAAGACTTGAAAGGCTAGCAGAATATAAAAGTTTCTGCATTTTTATCGCTCTCTGCCAATTCATTCCCTGCCGTATTTGCACCCCTTTGCCTGCTTTCTCATTCTGCTCAGCAGTTCCTCCAGTCTTCCAGGGATATTTTCACAGGTGCTGAAGGGTGAACAGGAAAGTGCCCTTGTGGAATCTTAAACCTACTGACAATACTTGGGATCCAAGCCTTTCTGTTTGCATTCCCAAATCAATGGAGGCAATCTGGTAAAATAACACAATTTAGGATTTGGAGCCATCTAAGCACTATGTGGTTTTCTAACCAAACTTTCCACAAACTCTAGCTCCAAATGTGTTAGAAAAAGAAACTGTACAGGTAAGGTTTTGTACCTTATGTTTTTTTTAATCTTTTCACTCCTGCAAATCAACATACAAGATTGGATTGTAGGGCAACTATGCACACCTTAAGTAAATGAGAATATGTATTTTGGGGTATTTCTTTTCATTAGCAAGATTCACACATGCAAAAACAGCAGTATACACTGCTTCCTACAATACAGTCCATCAACCCACATGCAAACAGCAGTGTGGTGACTGCTTATAATAGAACCATGTGAAGACTATTCCTGGTTGCAGCTCTTGCTACTAAGTGGCTCCAGCTATGTCCATCATAAACCAGATGGTTGCAAACCATGCTGGCTAAAGCTGAGGGTGCCAGGTGAAGGCTGATTAGGTGCTCATATAGTAACAGAAGGTTCTGAAGTTACACAATACACAGCAAATGGATTTCTCCTAACTTTTCAAGATTTGCTAAACCACTTTGGAGTAAAGTACTGTGAGTGTTTAAGTTGAACTTCTAAGTTGTTCCTTTACATTATCATACAAGAGAACTTAAAAATACAGGGGAGGGATTTTAGAAAGGACTTCTTACAGCCTTGTCTAACCTGATTCCTCTAGATCTTTTAGCCTATAATTTCCTTCGAGGCAGCCTGTATGGCCAATGGCCAAGTAGGATGAGAGTTGTGGTACAAAGAGGCCACCAAGCTGGCACAGAAACTCAGTGAGTCAAACCACTGGAGCATCTGCTCTATTGGTCTGACTAGTAAAGTCATGCAGAGATATTTCCAAGCTTTTCTGCATGAACTTAAAAGATCTTATACAGGATATCACATAATTGACGACTGAGCTATTAGCCTTCACTACATGTATTGTTTTGGATATAGTATCAACTTTCATACCCAATGTTTGCAGATAAAAACCTTGAACTTGATTTGAGTGAACTGTTTCTATTTGACCAGTGGAGAGATTCCAGGCTTGACACATTCCATCACAAGATATACTGAACATTTTTGCCTTTGGAATTATGTTTTAGACACTGATTTAGTCTATAACCATCTATATGCTTACCTGAGAATAAGTCCAATTGACCCCAATGGGATTTACTTTTGAGTAGGCATGTATAGAGTTGCATCATTAGTCTTCTGGAGAGAATGAAATCAAGCTTCCAAGAAAAAATTGTTCATTGACAGCTGCATGGCCATAGATCATTTCCTGCTGGCATAAAAGCCCCACTAAGGCAGGATTGACATTTATTAATGAGGACAGCTTTGATTATGTCCATGCAGCTATCTGTACTACTCACTAGCTGGCCTTGCTTTGATCATTAAAAAAAAAGAAAGAAAACTAGAAGCAATACTAGAAATCTCTCACAAACCTCCTGTATCTGATTTTTCACATCATTAACTTGCTAATGTTCAGGGTAGCATGGCTCATCCTAATTTTGAAACTGATGACAAATTATCTATGTTTTCATTTTTAGAATAACTTTGCTACTTATTTTCACTTCAATACTGTTGAAGGTATAGGAGGCTTTCTACTGAGTGGAACATAGAAAGCTGCCTTAAAGCATTTGCTCGTGTACCAGTATTGTCTATTCTGACCTGCTCTTTCAAAGGTATTTTTCACACTACCTGCTACCTAATCCTCCCAACTGGAGAGGTCTGGGGTTAAGCCTATGACCTGTTGATTGCCAAGCATGTGATCTGCCACTATGCTACAGTATCTGTGGTTCTGGGGATTCCTAAGATGTGACTTTTGTAGTTCCTAGGATTCTGCACTCTTCTCGCATCTGTGGTGCTCCAGATGTTTTAGACTAAAACTGACAGCCTTCCTTTCCAAAGCCAAAAATCAACTATAGGTCACCAGGCTGGAGAAGACTGCTATCATTTCTCTAGTCTATGACCATCAGCCACAATGGTATGCAGCTCTCAGTTTCCCAAGTCATGGGCAGAGACCAGTGGAGATTGATGACTTCAAGGTATCCACTATATGCTTTGGTCTGAACTTAAAAGGAGCTGTCCATGTTACTGAGACCTACCTCCTAGCTTCAAAATAGATTCAGAATGATGGACAGCTCCTTAAAAATCTTGGCTGTAGCCTGAAGTGGAGGAGATGTCTTCTACTTAAGTTACACAAAGCTACCTAACTGCATTCGGTAAAGATAAAAACCAAAGACTCATATATGCAGAGAATACACTCTGTTGGTGAGATAACCATTCATAGATATTTGTGCCTGAACTCTTACACAAATTCAAGACTGGAGAGTCCCAGTATTACATAATTAGGCCAAAAAATAATAAATATTTTGGCTCATCATCCAAATTTCAGATTTGTGTTATTATATCAAACTTACTGTAACAATCTGGTCCAAATATGTAATTGGTAAAGAAAGATTATTTGCTGTATTACTGAGATTCTATGTGTATATGTTACAGCAATCTCCTTCACTGAAGACTCTCTTACAACTTTTGCTATATCAAGTAAACCCATAGCTTGCCTACCTGCCTGCCTGCCTGCCTTTCCATCTTTTTAACACTGTATATCATTTGGAAGATGCTCAGTGAGTAGTTCTTGGAAACTGTTACCTCAACTCTTCACTGAGAAGCAAAGATCTATAAGCATGGAATAATCAAGGGCAAGGTTGAATGTCAAGCACTGGAAAGTTAAATTGCTTGTTTTCCATTTAAATTCAAATGCTCATGTTAGGTTATTCACAGTTATGCTGTCAATATTGGAATGTATATAAATAGCATGCGAAAGAAACAAGGAAGGGAAAAAGTAATAGCAAAGATGGTGCTTCTAGAGAAGAGAAGCAATAAAGGCACTGAAGCAAACCACCAGCATCCAGACCAGTACATGCTTGTATTTGTGTGTATTGATACCATATTACTATTGATATCATATAACTATAAGTGGGGAGGTGTAATTCAGAAAATACATAATTTAAAATTAATCAGCCAAAGACAAGATGATGAGGATGAGGATGATGAGGATGATGATGGGTAAAAGGAATTCTTTCCTGCTACATCAGGTGTAGGAATGATAGATTGACTCCTTGAATGCTTGAACAGAGTTTGAATGAATGTTCTGTTCATATCTGGGGAACCAGCATGGTTTGGCCTAACCACAGATTCTGTGACACAGAGTATATACTCTCATTTTTAATTTACAATGGTTTTCTTTAAAAATGACTGCTTTAACTTTGAAACCGTTACCGTGGGCTATGAAGGGACATGTGATTGAATAGGGAGGTGGCTATGAACAAGCACAAGGGTCACCCCCAGTGCCAGAGAAGGGACAGCTTTCTGGCCACACATGGACAATTCTTACTTTAGCGTTCTGGGCAAGATTTTCAGTTGTGGGAAGGGAAGAAAACATTCTCTTAAGGCCAACAGCCAAAGAAAAAGTGAAATTTCACCCAAAGTGTCTTTGGATCAGTTCTGCTTTTATCCAATATGATGAGGAAAAAATCCTCGGAGTTCAAGGTGCCTGTCGAATGGGTGTGTTTATGCATGCACAGGCTGCACTTTTCTTGAATGTTGGTTACAGCCCCTTCATCGAGAATGTAGCAACCCTATAGAGCTGCTTGTAAAGAGGTATGGAATACATCTAAAGTGAACAGTCGCAAACATTTTATATTCACTTAATTTTCCAGTCCTACCTCTGAAGATTCAAAGGAGAAATTTCAAGTTCAGCATCTCCATTTACTTTTTGTATATAAAACTAAATGAGAGCATGAACATATGAATATCTTATTTATATCTCTTTGGCTTTGAATCCAACATGTCAACTACTAACTACAATTGCATATTATTCAAAATATTTTCACCTAAATTTTCCTCATATGTTGACTCTCGAATACTGCAGAATATTAAATACAGGGGTGGTTCTGGGGTTATGTGGCATTATATGGCATTAAGCACCCAAACCAGGCTGTGGAGCAGCAAGACTGTAGCCTCAAACCACTCCAAGCATGCCACGAGCACCTGCCAGTGCCTCCCCATCCCTTCCAAGGAGTGATCCACCAGCCACTCTCATGATCTGGCAGTTGCTACAACAAGGGGACAGCTGGCAAGACAGAGCAAACTCGAGCAAACTGCCAGGTGCCCTGCCTGCTGCCACTTCTCAACACGGAAAATGGAAGAGTTCCATCTCACCCATCTACCTGCCTACTTTGCTGGCAGCTGCTTTCTCACGTCCTCGGCCAGCTGGCCACTCAGCCACCCTGCTTGCTACGGACCTTCTGCAAGAGGTCACCTGACCTCTTATGAGAGCCCTGAAGCTGGAGAATAAGGCGGGGCAAGTGACTGGGCGTGCAGGTGGCTCAGCTGAGCAAGTGAGGAAAGGCTGGTCAGCTGGCCAAGTGAGGAAGTGGGCAGTTCTGTGTGGCTGGCTGGGTGGACACTGGCGGCAACCGCACCACTTTACCTCAGGCAGTGGGGCTGGGCTTGATTAAGTGCTGCCGCTTACCTACCATGGAACCTAGTAAACCATTTTCCACAAATGTGCTTCAAAATGCCTTCTAGGTACCCTTTAATTCTTCAGACACTTTCCAGTAGTTCCTCAAAGTAATAATCAGCATGGGCAGGTAAACAGTTCCAGAAGGAAGCTTGCTCATGGCTTCTGGTTTTTTTCTACAGTGCACCATGTCAGGGTATGGGATGATCTCTAGGGAACTTTCTCAATTCTGATGGGTGGTTGCCAGGCCCATCAGGGTCCTACATGAACTGTGTGGACCCTAAAACATGCCCTAGAATCTTTATGAGGACACATGTAGATGCAGACCAGTTCCTTGGCAATTAATCAAAGCGAAAAGTGTTCCCTGAAGCTAGAAAAACTGAAATGCACTGATACAGATAAGAAAATGTCAATTGACTGAACTGAATGTCATTGGATATGGAATAGAGGCATCAGACATACCAAGAACACCCAGCACACATCTGAGCGTTCAGTAAATAAACTGCTTTGCTATTAGAATTTGCTAAGGAGAATTTTGAAGAGAATTTCTGAAAGCAATGTTGGTGCTGTCATCACCAAGAACAGTTTCAGAATAACCACCACCACTTCAGATTGCCTTTAAATTTTGAGCTTTGAAGACTAATTTCATTCCTTTTAATATTTTGGAAGTAGTGGGATAGAAGCAGACCTAATGAAATCGGCAATATTAATTGTAGAAGTAGTATTAGAAAGTGGAGCAGACAGAGTCAAATGCAGCAACCAAAATAAAGGTTTCTGAGATGAGAAAAAAAAAAAGATTTCTGGTCCCTTCATAAGCACAGTCTCTGCATTCAGTGCCACATCAACCATGTGCTTAATATTGGTCTGATGTGTTTAAAAATGGAAATTAGCAGTTTATGGTGTACTTAAAGGCAGTCCCCTCACAAAAGTGCAAGAGTATAATAGGAATACGCTTGGAGGAACTAGTAGTTAGATAACTGCACAATGAAAATCAGGAAATTCACACAGATACCTCAACCACCTCCTAAGTAAGGTAGGCATAAGAAACTACCTATCAAAATTCCCCTGAAATTCTGTTCTTGTAGGAACATTTGTTTTAGAAAGCAGTGACCTTTCCATCAAATTGAATGAAAATGTACAAAATGCTGAAGAAATAATTGATTAGGGTCACTAGGGAACTAGGGAAAGGACTCTCTGGAATGTTGTGTGAGGGTTCACAGGAGAACATAAGGGGCTATCCTGGAACAGGGAACTAGGAGAATTTTGTGGCATACAAGAATAAATGCCTTCTACTCAGGAAAAGCTTCTTTAGATTTGTTCCTCTATTTTTTATTTTTGGTATTTCTTTTCCTTAAAACTCAGTCAAAAAACCTTGTGAAATTTGTAAGTAACTCTACAAATGGCTTCAAGCCTTGGGTACATCTTGGGACCATTTTTTCTTTCTCTGTGAATATGGACCAGATTATTGGAAGTAAGAACACAATTTGGTACACAGTGTGAATAAAATTGTGGCAAGCTTCATTGAGAAGGCATTTCCCTATTGGGCCTGCTTGGGTCAGAACTGAACAAAATTTTACTCACCTCTTCTGCATGAATGCCGCAAAGTTTGCTTCCAGACAGGAGCTTATTTTTCAGGCTTTTGTTCTAAGGGAGTGGAAGAAATACATTTTTAATATGAACATGTACTAAAATATTAAGAAACCATTTAAATATTTTAGCATGGTATACTAAAATATTATGATCAGGAAGACAGTGAGGGCAAAATACATTCACAATGAAAATAAATATGTAATTGTACAAGAAGCAGTCATGCTTTTCAAATTCTCTGACTAGCAGTGTTCTCCATGGCAGTGTGAATGTACCTAGCGCATGTAAGGCCTACATTTGTAAGGCTTCTCCACAAAAAAAGGGATCATGGGCCAATTGGGTTTCTCTCTGGAGAATCCCTACATGTGTGTCCTTATGCACATATTGGGTGTGTTCCAGTGTTATATCTGCAGAGGAAACTGCTTTCCTTCAAGGAGCTGGAAAGGAGCCATTTCTTTACTCGCTGAATCTCCCTGCATACTCTCAAAATATGATCCAGAGGGCTGAATGACCTTCCAGAGCAGAGGTGTTCAAAGTGTGCAGATGCAGAGAGGAAACATCCTGACGTACATGGAGATTTCTGCTTGTTCAACTTGAGCTGCTGTCCGCGGTTACTTCACAGTGGCTGTTCATGGGTGGTGCAGGTGGAGAAGCCATTTTCCCACCTGCAATCTACCAAGCACAGACCATATGATTTACATCATCCAAACCCAGTAAGGTTTGCAGTGGGGGTGGCTTCAAAACCACCCCGGAACCCATACCTACACACCATGAGGGTAATTAGGCAATCAGGCAGAATGTGACCAGCATGTAAAATTGGAGGAGGGTACTGTGGCTTCTCCACCTTCCCCCTGCCCCAACATGCAAACCTGCCCCATGCCTCAGGAAATTAAATGTGGAAAGAAAAAGCAAACTGGAGAGCATGTATGCCCTTGGATGGGACAGAGGCCATGAAGTGTTTCCAGCACAAGCAGAAATCTGCATGAAGGCAGCCGATGTCTTCACACGTGAATGCTATGAGCTCACAAGGAGAAATAAAATTGGCACGGGGAGTTATCATATACAATACGCTTCCCATATGGTTGCTGCAGTTCAAGGCATGGCTGGAAATGCACCACAAGTTTTCTGCAAAGAGCATTCAAACAATATTTGAATTGTCCTGCTGTTGTGTGGTCAATAGGTAATTTCATTACCTTCACAGATGCTTCACTTACTATATAACTATGCAGATCAAATCTATTTTAATTCCATTAATCTTCATGTTAAGAATACTGTGAGCCAAGCCATATATAAACTCGCCGTAAGTTTTAATTTATTATTATCAAACATATGAAACGAAAATATACTTTGTAACAAAGGCTGTACTGTTTCCTTTATTTTTAGCCCACCTACATCATATGTCCTCATTATAATTTGCTACATTTGCAATATTAAGAAGTGTCATGAAAATGCTACAGTGATTTCTAAAGGATCCTCATTTTTTCTTTAACAACATGATACTCCAATACAGGAAAGATTTATTAAATAATGCTACATTTTTAAGGCATTATAAGCATTAATAACATTGAAAAGGTGGCACATGTTCCAGATACAGGACAATCTGTTAAAGGGGGAAGCAGTACTTTTCTGCTATTTCCTATTCCTATCTTCTCAGGAACAAGTGCACTGATATCAATACTAATACTTCTACTAGTGCCAGAGGAACACTCATTTATAGAGTCAAATAAAGATAAGGAACCATTGTTCTCAACCCAAGATGACCACAGGTGGTCTTGAGTAGAGAATATTTATTTTTTATTTATTTTATTTATTTATTAAGACATTTTTATGCCGCTCAATTCGCCGAAGCCTCGGGGCAGCTTACAACAATAAGTTAAAATACAAATACATTAAGTTAAAATACAAACATTAAATTATAACCTTAAATTAAGATGTTTGTAAAGTGTAGACATAAAGTTAAAACACAAAAATAACAATATAAAATAAGTCGCCCTGGCCAGATAAAATCCAATAATATTAACAATTAAAATGACACTTAAATAAAAAGGTCTTTGCCTGGCGCCGAAAAACAAATAATGACGGCGCCAGGCGGACCTCTCTGGGGAGCGCATTCCATAGATTAGGCGCCACCGCAGAGAAAGCCCTCCTCCGAGTCCCCACCCTCCTGATTTCTTTCATGGAGGGTTCCCGGAGAAGGGCCTCTCCCGCAGATCTCAAGGGGCGGGTGAGCATATGTGGATGTAAGCGCTGCTTCAGGTAACCAGGACCCAAGCCGTTTAGGGCTTTATAGGTCATCACCAACACCTTGAATTGGGCCCGGACTTCAATGGGAAGCCAGTGAAGCTGACAGAGAACTGGAGTCAGGTGAACATAACATCCAGTCCCTGTCAGCAGCCTGGCAGCTCTATTTTGAACCAATTGAAGTATCCGGACCGTCTTCAAGGGTAGCCCCACGTAGAGCACGTTGCAGAAGTCAAGGCGGGAAGTCACCAGTGCGTGTGTCACTGTCGCCAGACAGTCGTACTCCAGATAGGGGCACAGCTGATGAATCAGCCGAAGCTGAAGGAAAGCGCTCCTCGCCACTGCTGTTACCTGAGCTTCCAATGAAAGCTCTGGGTCAAGGAGCACTCCCAGGCTGTGGACCTTGTCCCTAAGAGGGAGTGCAACCCCATTCAGGACTAGGTTCAATTCACCCTCCCCGAAGCCCAATCCGCCAACCAACAGGACCTCCGTCTTGTCTGGATTGAGCTTCAGTTTATTGGTCCTCATCCAGCCCATTACCTCAGCCAGCCACCAGTTCAGCACAGCCACTGCCTCACCCGGATTGGTGGAAAACGAGAGGTAGAGCTGGGCATCATCAGCGTACTGATGATTCCGCAGCCCACACCTCCTGATGACCTCTCCCAGCGGTTTCATGTAAATGTTGAACAGCAAAGGGGACAGAATGGACCCCTGCGGTACTCCGTGGCATAGCTGCCATGGTGCAGAGCCATAGTCCCCCAGCACCACCTTCTGGAACCGGCCATTGAGATAGGAGCGGAACCACTGCAAAGCAGTGCCTCCGACCCCCAATCCCGGTAGCCTGTCCAGAAGGATACCATGGTCGATGGTATTGAAAGCCGCTGAGAGGTCCAGGAGAACCAACAGGGATGCACTCCCCCTGTCCTTCTCCCTGCACAGGTCATCGTACAGGGCGACCAAGGCATATTCAGTACCGTACCCGGGTCTGAAGCCGGACTGAAATGGGTCCAGATAATCAGTTTCATCCAAGAGTGCTTGGAGTTGTCCCGCCACCACCCGCTCTAACACCTTGCCCAGAAACGGGATGTTGGCCACTGGTCTATAGTTAGTGGCCATCTCTGGATCCAGTGACACCTTCTTCAGGACTGGTCGGACTACCGCCTCCTTTAAAGGGACAGGCACCCAGCCATCCCTCAGAGAGGCGTTAACCACTTCCAAGATCCAGGTCCCTATCCCGTGCTTGGAATTATTTATTAACCAAGACGGGCAAGGGTCCAATAGGCAAGTGGTGGGACGTACTCGTCCAAGCACCTTGTCCACATCATTGGGCTGCAGTAACTGAAATTCATCCAATAATTCTGGACCAGACAGCAGCATTGGTGTCTCCCCAAAAACCTCTGATTCACTAGTGGTGTCCAGCTCGTGACGAATCTGAGCGATTTTCTCCCTGAAATGCCTGGCAAAGTCGTCACAGCGGGCCTTTGAGGGTGGAACCAGGTCTTCCTTAGGACCTGGACGAACCAGGCCTTGCACCACTTGAAAAAGCTCCGCCGGACGGCATTGTGAGGAGGCAATGGAAGCGGAAAAAAACTTCTTTTTCGCCGCCCTCACCACCACAGCATAGGCCCGATAGTGGGCTCTCAAGTGTGTTCGGTCAGATTCATTCCGTGATTTCCTCCACCTACGCTCTAGCCATCTCCCAACCTGCTTCATAGCCCTCAATTCAGGTGTATACCAAGGGGAAGAGTGGGCTCTGCCCAGTGGGAGAGGACGCTTAGGAGCGATCGTGTCCACAGCCCTGGTCATCTCCCCATTCCACAGTTCGACCAGAGCCTCGACAGGAGCACCTGTTTTGTCAGCCGGAAACTCCCCCAGGGCCTTCAGGAATCCATCCGGATCCATCCGGCTCCGGGGGCGGACCCACACAATCGGGTCCGCACTCTTATAGAGGGAGAGGCCGCTCTCAAGCACAAACCTCACCAGGAAGTGATCTGACCATGACAGGGGAGTTAGACGTAAGTTCTTCACCCTCAGAACACCCTCTTCCTGCCCCATTGAGAAAACCAGGTCCAGAGTGTATCCACGTTCATGGGTCGGGCCGGTGACATGTTGAGACAGCCCCATGGCCGTCATGGAGACCATGAAGTCCTGAGCCGCCCCGGTCAGACCAGTCTCGGCATGGAGATTGAAGTCCCCCAGGACCAGCATCCGAGATGGTCTCCGTCAGCTCAGGCAGGGAGACTGTTGGGCAGAAGGGTGCACGGTACACCAACAGAATCCCCAATCTGTCTCGGTCGCCCAACACCAAGTAGAGGCACTCCAGCCCTGGTCTCGAAGGGACAGGAAGTCCTGTGAGAGAGATGGAGGTTTGGTAAACCAAAGCGACCCCCCCTCCCCTCCCCTCCCCTCCCCTCCGGACGTGAACAATGCTGAACCAGATACCTGGGCGGGCACAGCTGGGAGAGGGCAACATCCCCCCCTTCTCCTGCCCAGGGTTCCGTGATGCAAGCCAGGTCGGCCCCCTCATCCACAATCAAGTCATGGATGAGGGAAGATTTATTATTGACCGACCTGGCATTGAGCAACAGCACCGTCAGGCCCGAGGGGCGGTTGACAAGACTACCTGGCACCCTCTGGCTGGGGGCAAAACCAGAAGTAGGGACAGGTGTCAACCATCTGTCCCTTCTTCTTCTATGCGGAATAGCAAGAGAGACACCTACTAAGTAGATTTTCCTCCCAAAGGGAGACAAACACTTATTTGTAGGGATAGAGAAAACCGTCTGTTGTAGGAACAAATTAGCAAGAAGAGGAGAATT